TACTTCAAAACTTTGTGGTCTTCTCAGGTACTCAACGCCCTTCCATTCCAAGTAGGCGAGAGTTTTTCCAACGCCCTTCGATTCCATGTGCTGGCACCCAATCCTGTAGCAGTACGAAGTTTCCAAGATGGTACAGGCGACGACATGAAGGCAGGATATTCTCCTCGAGTTGGTCGATGTTTTATTCTGGGGTCCTACAAGAAAATATCGGTCTTGCATTCCAGGAACTCCGGTCCATACCATCAACCGCGCCTTGGCGACTGCGGTGAAGATGATATCCTGGACCGTAGCGACGTTGTCGGAGCTGCTCGATGTTGGAGGTCTTCCAGATCAAGAGTGCTGGTCTCCAGGTAGCTATCCATGGGTGACTCCATACTAGAAGTTTCGCAGCTGTTTGGAGGTGACATGAATTCCAAAGGTCTTCTCCAGTCAGGCTGCGACTGGAGATGACTTCATATTTTGGTGTACATGAAGGTGATGGGCGAGAGCCAGCTCCTGCTTATCGAGGAACATCTTGGGTATCTTCCGCCCTGGTACTCGTATCCACGTCTTCTATCTGGGCTGCGTAAACTTCACTGTTATGTGACTCTGCCAAAGTGTCTTTTTTTATTACCCCCTCTGTGCACTGAAATCCTTGAAACGTTGCAGGCGCGGCTAGGTACTCCAGAGGTGGCTCTGTTTTTAGTGAGATATTTTCATTTTGATACAATTGTGATCATGTTTTGTTCAATAAAGAGCAAGGTGACAGTTGTCTTAACCTGAAATATCCTACGAGTAACCTATCCTGTGCCATGTCCGAATGCCACTCCTACTCAGTCTCATGGATAGCGAGTGCAGTTGTAGAAATTCCTGATACCCCAATAATGATGTTCACGCAAAACGTTGTACGATTCGTTGCACACTTCCCATAGTTACAAGTTCAAGCCAATAACTGGTCTAATCCATTCTCGTGCCAGCACACCTGTTCTGAAAAAAGCCTCGACTAAACCTTCGTAATTTCCACCCGCAGCTTTGCACTGGGGTCGCCGTAACACACATAGGTTGCGTCCTTCTCGCGTAAGGGTTAATAATACTCGTAGTTCAGGTTACAACTCCTTATCCAAAGACGGAATAGTAGTATCTATCTAGATCGGAGTTAGGTAATATCGCAATATTCACCGAGTACCGATTCTGTTGGCATTTAGAACATGCCACAGAATGGGTTACTCGTGAGATATTTCAACTTGGGACAACTGACATCTTGCTCTGCGTTGAACAAAGACATGACCGCAATTGTCTCCAAATGAAAATATCTCACCGGAAGCACAGTGACCACCGCGTTTAGTTGATATACGCAGCCACGCCTACTGCATCTCGAGGATCGCGAGCGTATGTGACGATTAAGCGTGAGGCAAGAACAGGTCGCCGTGCTGCTCTGGGCGTGACTGGCCGACGTCCTCGCCGTCGCGTACGCCGCACCGCCCCATGGCTCGTCGGAATTTTTGAAGGAGCTATCAACGGGACGATCACAAAAGAATCTTGGTCGAAGACGCGGAACTAACGCAAAGGTCTACTCTAATCGCTAGCTCTAATTGTTCGACATATAGCAGTCTGGTCGAATTACCGCCCATCGGCGGCGCACGTCCTGAGCGGCATGACATGATTAGCATTTAGAAATTTTAAAAAAAATTTGAAGCCGCACGTCTTGCGTGTTCAAGGTGTTTCAAGCTGCCTTTGATGCCCACGTGTGCGACGCTGCAGTTGGGGGAGAGTGCGAGCCATGTGGATGTGATATTCGTGTCCGAAGAGCCAAACCACCTCTAGATCGGATTTTCTGCTCTAATCGTAGCTCATGGTTACGATAGTAAAAAAAAATCTGCTCCCTGCGAGGGGGGGGGAAGCGGAATCGTGCAAAATTCTGGACACATATCTGAGTTCTGGTGTCTCCAAAGGCGTAAATCTGTGTGCATCGCTTAGCGAATGGCTCGAGACCTCTCGGGTTTCCCTTGTCAGAAGTGGAATAAAAATGAGCACAAACATTAGAAATAGCTTTATTAAAATAGAGAACCTTGTTCAATAACAAAAGTGATCAGAGGGTTCAAAAAATGATATGATCGTGAGACTAGTGAATTTTTCGCACATCACGATTCCTTTTCGCGAAGTACAACAAGTCCTTCGAAAAGCGCTTGTGTCTTTTCTCCTAACGTTTCTTGTATGGCGACCTGCTCATTGTCGGCAATTTTCCTGGCACCGATCTGCAATAATGGCATTTTATTTTGTTGTACAGTACGATAATGGATCGACCGGATGAGATAAGAATTGAAATTAAGGAAACGAAAATTCGAGAATGAGAGCATTTCTTTCATATGAAGGCATATTCCGTCGCACGTCGGATCCGGACCATCCATCTTTGTGGGTCGAAAAGGACATGATGGACAATGAGGAAGGCGCAAGAGCAAGCCCTGCTTCGACTACACCGAGAGTAAAGAATGTGCCTTCAAACTGCCTCTGCCTATGTAACCCAAACGGGTAAGATTTTTTTCGAGTCAGTTAATCGTTTTTGCCAAATAGAGCCAGTGGTACTCAGTGCAGGTGAATCTGAGCCATGCGGAACTTACAGTGAGAGAAAAAACAGCCTTTGTCTCAGGGCGCCGTGTCATGATAAGTAACGTCGCTACTACATGCATCGTGCGGAAATGCCTGTGGTATACTTTAAAAAGCTTGAATAATAATGCGTCTGAGGCTAGGAAAATAGCTCCGTCTATTGTGTGCGGGCTCCAGCAGAACACGTGCAACCTCAAGAAGCACCGCCTTTTGTATTTAATTCCTCTTGTCTAAAGACTGCCCCAAGACAGAGTTGCAGGTTTTCGAAAACCGCTCACTTTGAGAACGCCCCTCCCATCGCGAGTATGCCTTTCCCGTTTATGCGTCTACTCATTTCTGATTTTTAGCCAATGTTCTTCCTGACCGTGCAGTTGTACAAACGAAGAGCGATTCTTTGCCTATGACACTGTTGTGGCGCACGCCCCGCCCACTGTAGGCGGGGTTTAGTTCGGTTCATGTGTGCTTTGTACACCTTGTCCCATGTCTTACCCATTTCATCCCTGACCCGACCTCTTCTAATTGGTGTTTAGGTAGAATCTTCCTTAATATAGGTACTAAACTATATATAGTGCGACTTCTGGGACTATTTACCCTTTACTGTACCACTACTGCCACCACTCATCGGAATTCAGGAAACATTTTTGATCGAAAAGTCTCAAGGGTGTTGTCCTATACTTTCTCTTCAGGTCCCCTGATCGAGAGTATAACGACCGCTAATCGCGACCATCTCTGGCGCTCGCGGCACAGCAGCTAAAGGCTATTTTTGGCGCTAGCGTCCGGAGCGCACACTGCGTTTTCTCGCCAAGGGTATATGAAGGGTGTTTTGAGCCGTCTTGACATTTACGCCTTGTAAAGCAAGGAGTGCGTTCGATTTCGAGCCGAGTGGATGTGATGAGCCCTTGCGGGGAGAAGTTTCGACTAAGGTTTGGCCCGAATTAAGAAGAGTCGTATAGTGGAGAATAGTAATGCTGAAACTATACAATAAATCAATGCCTATAATCAATATTCATATCAGATCGAACCTTGGCCACGGAGTCAATGATTGGTAGCAGAATAGTTCCAGCAAATGGGAAAAATCGACGATACGCTTCTTTCAGCTGAAAAAAAAAACAGTGGTTTATTCTCTTCGGTTTTTCTTTTCGCGCTTCTCTTTTTCGCTGTAGGCACTCAGAGCATAATCGATGAAGTGTTGAAGGTCAGATTGTGAATCTATACTTTACAACAATTAAAATGCAAAGTCTACGTTGATCGCATGGGGGAATCCGGCCTACCATAGTGCCTTTCTCAACAGTGCCATTCTCCTCGACCGTATCACAAATGAGATACGAAATAACATAGGAGGCACAAAGAAAGGCCCGACTCCACCCAAATGAGGAGCGTAAGAAGCCTTCAACATACCCAAGAAGAAAGCCGAATGCGCGACACAAGTTGAGTCAAAAAAGAGGATAATAGAATCGGAAATGTAGGAGAAATAGTCATTTACTCACTTGCTCGAGAGAGTAGGGCAGCTCCGTTTTCTTACAGTACGTCGTAAGATATCCATAGAACTCTTTCAGCAGATTTTCCCAATTCTTCCGCCGGTCGTGTCCACTCAGCGTTGTAATCAGTAAACGAGTCAGATCCTCGGCAGCACATCCGAAAAATGAGCCAGCTGCCGTATAAAATAATAATACAGTTTCCCCGTGCAGCGCGTTTCAGACATTCGCGACAGGCAGCGATTCCGTCGAGCCGTTAGACGCCGACCAGTGCAGTAGAAAGCATGTCACGAGCGGCGTCGACGCATGCGCCGACCGAAGCGTCTGTCGCGAAGTCTGGACTTACCGTAAGCTGGCTTTATACTCAACCCTTACAGCTCTAGTTCGCCTACGCGACGAAACGAGACGTGTCAGCGGATGGGTTGGGCGCGGTGCCAAACCCGTCCACCACCAGCTGTTGATGCGAGCAGCTGACAAGACTGTATTGTGCTGTTCGTATCACTCGTTTTCTGCTAATTGTTGACAAACACCCGCTTCAACAACTGGCACACAACCGTTTTGGTGCCGAGGCGCACTCATACTGCATGACACGCCCCTTCATCCGCAGACAACTGAAAGTGTAAAGGTAGTACCACCACGTTTTTTTCAAAGTGACTGTATTGAGTTTTGATAGAGAACCGCCTGAAAAATTGCAGGAAAGGAAAGTTGGTTCCTCTCACTGGGGAAGGCACTTGTTCGCTGCGGATGCTGACACGTGTCAGAAGGGAGGGGCTGGGTACCGCGGCACCACCCCCCCACCACCTGCTGAAGCTTGCGAGCGACAACTGTGGTGGAAAACAGAACTAGCACAGCCGCCAAACCGAGCCCCTCCCCCCACTCACTGGCCACCACACACACCCTTTACCCATACCGGTATAATAGGAACTGTACCCTTCCCTCCCCTCTCCAAAAGTTGTTGTCGCAATTATTCTATATTCAACATTATGTCACACATACATTTGAACAAAACTCGGTGAAGTACCGGGTTCAATCAAAGACGCTGTGACTGAGAGCGTGGAGGTGAAGGGTGAAGCCTATCTAGTAGGTTGTCTCTTAACATCTGAACGAAAATCTAACAATAACTTTGGCATCCTAACAGAGCACGTCTTCAGATTTTAGGCGACAGCAGCGCCACATTAAAGCAATAAAAGAGCTTGACAACTGGTTTCAAGCTTAACCGGTTCGCTTACTTATACACAACACAATTTAATCACTGACTTGGAAGTCGATTATCCTGGCCAGTTCAAATCCCTTTTGGGTTTCTTCCACAGCAAATTCGCTGACCATAGATCGCCATGGATCATTACGTCTTTCATCCCTGAAAATGCCTGAATTTCAGTACTGTTCCTTTCCAAGGCTTTCCACAATCCATTTTTTGTCCCCTCGTTACAACACGAATGCTGAGTTGTGGGCCAAAAATATGATCCCAGGTGAGGATCGAACACTTCTCGTGTTTGCAGTTTGTTCGCTGACGTGTCAAGAGGGATGGGTTCGGCGCGGTGCCAAACCCACTTTCCATCGGTTGCTGAAGCGAGCAAAGCCGACAAGACTGCATATGCAATCAATACGCAACCAGTCAGCATTGATGTATCTTCAAACAGGTGTATAGATTGAGCCGTCCAAGATTGTTATAATTTATTGGCCAACGTTTCGGCTACTTCGCCTTCGTCAGGGCCTGAAAGAGTCCAAGAACAATTGAGATCTGTCCCCTCAAACGCCTTAACAAAACTTAAGACTATTTCGAGATCCTAGTAAACCACCTAACGGTATCGATCGATAAGGTGAGTAGGCTTACCTAGATCTCAGCCGCGACGACGTGAGACCGACCACCCAAGCTGTAGTACTGATTAGTGAGCTGCTACCTCCACCCCGCGACCTCGACCTCATGTAGATCAAAAACCGCAAGGTCGGCAAAGGGCGCGAGTTCACGGGTTATGGCTAAACATTCCTCTTTCCTGTTCATTAGGGGGTCTTTCGCCGAAATCCAAAACGCTTCCAAGGTTTTCCGCGCAGTGATTTCAGGCTCCTGTGCCAGGATGGACACCGTCACCTGAAATTCGGCATCCCCATGATACTCAACACGATGGCTACCAAGTGGCGTCCGGACCTGTGATCTTCGCAAGCCATCCAAGTGCTCTTTAACACGTACGCACAAAGGACGGCCCGTTTCCCCCACATATTCACTATCACATGTGAGGCAGCGTATTGAATAGATCACCCCCGATTTCATGCAATCACCTGCTCTACCGGAGGGGCACACCACACATTCCGGGGTATCACATGAATAGTCATAGAGGCGATTACGTACGAGGAGACGTTTTAAGTTGTTTGGGGGTATTTCTACCACCCTAACGTCTTCTTGCAAGCCACATCTGTGCAGACTCGAACGGATCGCCCGGCTAACTTCTTCCGAAATAAACGGGAAACAAAATGGTATTTTCTCGGAAGATATTCGGTCTGTGACCCCGTGACGTCTGGTAGATCCCCTGCGCAATGGTCGCGACTCCAAATAACCGTTAGATACCGCAATCTTTTTAGCCATATCGACCGATTCTTGTTCTAATGCAGGATCAGAGGAGACCCTGCTAGCAGTTTTAAACATATTGTTAATGACTGCTTGCTTTGTCCTTGTCGGATGTGCTGAATTGCAGTGAACAAGAATATTCTTATTGCTCGGCTTGCGGTACCATTTGGTTCTAACCGTGTTCCCCATCAATTGAATTTGAATATTGAGGAAGGGCAGCCAGTTCTCTACAGGATGTTCTCGTGTAAACTTTATATTGATGGACTGTTCATTTAGAAGGTCGAAACACTTATCGATTTCGCCTTGTGTGTGGCATATTATGAGACAGTCATCAATATAGCGACAGTAGAGAAGAGGTCTGCGATCCAACACGGGTTTCTCGATTCTGGACATAAATGTTATGGCCAGAATAGGTGCGAGCCGCTGCCCCATAGCTAATCCCCGCAGCTGCCTGTAGTATGTGCCTGACCACTTGAAGATAGAACACTTCAGACACTCTCCCAAGATTTTCATGACCTGGGGAATGGTGAACCCAAAGAGGTTGAGCGTACGTTCGTGCTCGCACAGCAGTTCATATGTAGCCTCCAGAGCAGCTTCATTCGAAACATTGGTGTAAAGTGATGTCACATCAAATGACTCCGTGACACAACCTTCGCTGAGGTCAACATTGGACAACTTATCGAGTAACATACCCGTATTTGTCAAGTGGGCGGGGATATGTTGGAGCAGTTGTCCCAAGATTATGTTGAGAAACCATGAGATCTTATCGGTTGGTCCACCAATGTTGCTTATTATAGGTCTAACCTTGAAGCCGCCAGGGTTCACCAAGCTCAATTCCGTGTGACTGAGCTTATGTGTCTTGATCAGAACATACAATACAGGACAAACTGGCAGGTCACACTTGATACGATTGATTGTCGTTCTGGGCAGGCCTGCACTCTTCGCCACGTCACTCCATATTCTGTTTAGCCTTCTATATTGTTTGCAGAACTCTTTCTCCGTTGATCTGCAATAGAGAGTATGGTCTTGGAGATGCATACTAGTGATCGCCCTGTCAAGCCCTTGTGATAGGACTACAAATTCCCCTCCTTTGTCACTCACTGATAAACGGATACTTCCATCGTTTCAGGCGATCTCGTATCTCTTTCATACCCCGCCTTTGTGAAAGGGTTATGTTTGGGTGTACGCGTTTATCAGTATACTGTCGTACTATTCTGTAAACAGAAGTAGCAAACAGTCTGAATTTGGTGTCTACGATAGGGTCACTTTCTTGGGGCTTGTAGAACGTGCAAGGAAACGGTAGAGCAGGGATTCTTTCATTCGATCGATCTGCCGTGGATATTCCCCGCCGTTCTGCACTAGCTTTGTGCCGTAAGCGATCGTGGAGCACTTGCAAAGTTGCCAACTATTCTGCGCACCGCCGTATGGGTGATATTCTGAGCGGGAGCAAAACTAGGGCCCAGTTCCAGCAACGACCGCGCCCCATCCGAGAGGGGAATGTCGCCTATAACCGTGACGCGCGAATCGGAGGGCTGCACACTATCATTCGACGAGTGTGGGATGGTGGTATTACTAGGATTACCAGTAGTCACCTCCTTCGATCTACGACACCGTTGTTGGTCTACTAATCTATCGAACTTTTCTTTCAGTCTTGTCTTAGTACTCGAGCGGACATAATCACAAATGTTTCTTGGACTCACCCACTATTCTCTGCCAAAGGCGTTTCGGCACGATCCGTTCACAACTTATCTCTTTAGCAACACACTTCTTCAGACAAGCATACATTTGATCACGTTTTGTCCTCAGTGCCGTGCGTAGTAGTTGTTGTTCGATCGTCTGTATTCTTCTTGAATCCTTCGGCACACCGCACATTTCATGCAATCGTTTGTTCGTAATGAAGTTGGGTGTCAGACGATACTGCAGACAAGCGGCGTAAGAAGTGGGTGGTCTGTCTCATCGCAACAATCCTTTGTCGCAAAGAGAGGACTTCTTTCACTAGTCGGAAAACAGTTGGCTGGCACATGTTGTAGAATCGACCAGGATCGACCTTCTCTTAATCTTGGCATTGTTGTATCTTCAAACAGGTGGATAGTTTGAGCCGTCCAAGATTGTTATAATTTATTGGCCAACGTTTCGGCTACTTCGCCTTCGTCAGGGCCTGAAAGAGTCCAAGAACAATTGAGATCTGTCCCCTCAAACGCCTTAACAAAACTTAAGACTATTTCGAGATCCTAGTAAACCACCTAACGGTATCGATCGATAAGGTGAGTAGGCTTACCTAGATCTCAGCCGCGACGACGTGAGACCGACCACCCAAGCTGTAGTACTGATTAGTGAGCTGCTACCTCCACCCCGCGACCTCGACCTCATGTAGATCAAAAACCGCATAGGTCGGCAAAGGGCGCGAGTTCACGGGTTATGGCTAAACATTCCTCTTTCCTGTTCATTAGGGGGTCTTTCGCCGAAATCCAAAACGCTTCCAAGGTTTTCCGCGCAGGGTCTCCTCTGATCCTGCATTAGAACAAGAATCGGTCGATATGGCTAAAAAGATTGCGGTATCTAACGGTTATTTGGAGTCGCGACCATTGCGCAGGGGATCTACCAGACGTCACGGGGTCACAGACGAATATCTTCCGAGAAAATACCATTTTGTTTCCCGTTTATTTCGGAAGAAGTTAGCCGGGCGATCCGTTCGAGTCTGCACAGATGTGGCTTGCAAGAAGACGTTAGGGTGGTAGAAATACCCCCAAACAACTTAAAACGTCTCCTCGTACGTAATCGCCTCTATGACTATTCATGTGATACCCCGGAATGTGTGGTGTGCCCCTCCGGTAGAGCAGGTGATTGCATGAAATCGGGGGTGATCTATTCAATACGCTGCCTCACATGTGATAGTGAATATGTAGGGGAAACGGGCCGTCCTTTGTGCGTACGTGTTAAAGAGCACTTGGATGGCTTGCGAAGATCACAGGTCCGGACGCCACTTGGTAGCCATCGTGTTGAGTATCATGGGGATGCCGAATTTCAGGTGACGGTGTCCATCCTGGCACAGGAGCCTGAAATCACTGCGCGGAAAACCTTGGAAGCGTTTTGGATTTCGGCGAAAGACCCCTAATGAACAGGAAAGAGGAATGTTTAGCCATAACCCGTGAACTCGCGCCCTTTGCCGACCTATGCGGTTTTTGATCTACATGAGGTCGAGGTCGCGGGGTGGAGGTAGCAGCTCACTAATCAGTACTACAGCTTGGGTGGTCGGTCTCACGTCGTCGCGGCTGAGATCTAGGTAAGCCTACTCACCTTATCGATCGATACCGTTAGGTGGTTTACTAGGATCTCGAAATAGTCTTAAGTTTTGTTAAGGCGTTTGAGGGGACAGATCTCAATTGTTCTTGGACTCTTTCAGGCCCTGACGAAGGCGAAGTAGCCGAAACGTTGGCCAATAAATTATAACAATCTTGGACGGCTCAATCTATACACCTGTTTGAAGATACAACAATGCCAAGATTAAGAGAAGGTCGATCCTGGACGATTTCATCGAATTTGGTGATTCAAGGGGTTTCCCTGTAGTGCGCGCAAGGCGGTTCCATGCCAACCTGATGTGGTCGTCTTGTTCAGGCGCTTAAGCTACCCCTAGGGATAAGTTTTCATCGATATTGGTGATTCTTGGGTGTTTTGGCGCGGGCCCGAGGCGGTCTCGGGAAGCGGATGTGATACTCATGCTCAGGAGGTTTTTGAGGTAGTTAGTACGAAGGACGCGCTACTCCAGCCCAGTCTCCGTGCACTTTTGACCGGGGGAAGCGGCACGCTATGGCAGCTGTGGATCCGTTTAGCTCACACATGGCAAGGAAGAGCGTCCAAGGAGGTAAGGGTGCAGTTTGTCTTTAAATGGCTGTACAGGCTCATATAATGGCATGAGGGTGTGGTATTGTCGACCGCGGGCGGTTTGGAGTGGCACAGAGGGAGTATTGAATGGGATTGGATCAATTGTTTTCGCCCTTAATCCGTGGCTAATTGGTATAATATTATTCATTTCGTCAGGTTGCCCTTGAAAAGGAGGCCTGTTGAAAAAAAATTCTATTTTAGATATATTGAAAGGTCTTCCAGCGATTAGTACTTGTTTGTTGAAGTTTGAGACTGTCTCTCGTCACTAGCAACCATTTATAGTGCATCTGTGATGACAGATAAGAAATTAAATTTATCTACACGGTCCCTTTGAATGTACCAAAAAATCCGGCATCTATTTTGAGAAGTAGACGCACTTGAAGTCCCGTAATTTATTTTGGCTTTATTGGCCCCTGGTTGGATTCAAAAGACTAATGAAGAAACGGTAGGCCATCGTTGTGGTAATCACAGCGGGGGTTCATATTTGACCGCGAGGGGGGTTAATAAGCGCATGGCACATTTGTGAAGTAGGGAGTGCAGCGATACTCAGATGTCGTTCAGCTCCAATGGTGAAAGACTCATCCATGCGAAGAGCACCTGAAGAAACAGCTAAAGGCAGAAACAACCTGCAAGCTCAGAACTGGGGAACGGGCGATAAGAGAAGGAAGAACGATGTCCGCCCACAACAACGTCATGAACTAGTAAACATATGAAAGTATACGTAGGACTTTTCTGATCCACTGGAGTGCATCTGCTTGT